GTGCCTGCGGAGAGAGCACAGCCCTGCCAATTTCAGACTTCTAGCCTCCAGAACCATGAGAAAATACATTTATGTACCTTTAAAACACACTAATGCATTCTTCACTCAAAGTACCCTGAGTCTGTGAAAACACTGAGTTCTGGGACCTGGATGAGTGGCTGTGTTCTCTATTATGGTTATTCAACACAGGTCCCAGTTTGCTGGGCCTACACCGAGGAAGTTAGTGGGGTGCCCATCCATTTTGATCCTAGAGAATACATGACTTCTTTGCTGCTATTCAAAATACACTTTGCTAGACTATCTGATCACCGTGCTGGTCCTGCTGCCCGTTATGGAATCATGTACAGCTTTTTTGCTGGAAATTAAGTTCTGCTCTTGTCCCTACTATCCAAGGAACCTGGTGTCCATCCCACTGAAGTCAGCAGAATTTCCCACTAATGTACCTGACTGATGAAAAACAGCCACAATAAAGCTCTTAGAATATGCTAATAGTCCCCTCAACAATATCCCAAATTTGGGACTGGCTTGTGGCTCACTTGGGAGAGTGTGGTGCTGATAACACCAAGGCTGTGGGTTCGGATCCCTATATAGGGATGGCCGGTTAGCTCACTTGGGAGAGCGTGGTGCTGACAACACTGAGCCAAGGGTTAAGATCCCCTTACCAGTCATCTTTTTAAAAACAAAACAGTATCCCAAATTTAATCAAATTTGAGCTACCATCAGTTGTAAGATGCACTATTATTTTATGAGCTACTTAGAAAAATATGCCATTGTCAAAGTGTGAAGCACTATCACTTATAGTACAAGGGTACTTCAAAAAGTCTACAGAAAAATAGAATCAAAAGAATACAAATCTTTCCATGAACTTTTTGAAGGCCTTTGCCTATATCTCATTTCAGTGACATGAAAAGATGTGCATGTTGGAACTCATGAAATACAGTATTTCTCAAAGCCTTTTGAAAGGGAATGTCAAGTTATTCATGATCGATGCTTTAACACTTCTGTGTCTCCAAGACTTTGGATTTCTTCCTGTACATTATTCCAGGGAATTTCTGGCAACTCACCTTTGTTTAATGTGAGCTACCATTGAGTACAGGTTTCAAGCAATCAAGTAAGGAAACAGTTAGAAACTACTTCTAGCTGCTTGAATCAGCATATTGAATCCAATATCCCTGATACGCGTACCAATTTTCATAAATTCAGCCTAATGTAAAATTATGATTATCCCTCCTTGATCTAACATTCTCCAATTTTATAACCATATGTATTTGCTAGGTTTTCTGCAGGTATTTCAGTGTATAAGTGTCTTCTCCTGTGTCAAGCTCTGGTCCAGCTCATGCTGGAATCAACTGTTGTTATAGGTTTGAAGAAAATGAAGAGTGGTGGAGATAATAAGATTTGGCTTTCTCTGCTATTGAGCTCAAATGAGGTTATTAAGAGTCTTAAACAAGGTAGGAGCAGCCTCATCAGAACAGAACAGTAGTTGAGTCTACTGGGAAGTGAATGCCATTGAGGACCCTGATTCATCTGCATCCTCCCATATGTCACCATTCAATTCTCAAGGTCCTATCTTCACGTAAGAGACCCGGTGAGGTTATGCATTAAATTAAAACTGTGATTTGACAGCTCATGGGATCAAACTTTTAAGTTTGTCTTTTGGCCTTCTCAGCCCTTCAGCCACAAACAAAAAGAGATTCTTTAGTGTAATATTAGAAAGTCTCTGGTTTTCTGTCCATGCTTTGAGAGGAGGATTTAAGAATTTGAATTTGTTATCCTCTTTCTTTAGTCAGTAGTTTTCCCTGGTAGTGATTTTGTCTCCCCCCAGGGGACATTTGGCAATATCTGGAGATGTTTTAGGTTGTCACGACTGGAGGAGGGTGTGTGCATATATGTTACTTGCATCTGTTGGATAGAGTCCAGGGATGTTACTAAACATCCTAGAATGCGTAGGACCACCTCCCATAACAGAGAAGTATCCAGCCCAAAATATGAATAGCTTCAGCATCGAGAACCCTGTTCTAAGCTATAAACCACAGTAAGAAGTTACCATCCCACTCCACATCCCTTATGTTCCTTAATTCCTCAAATATTCTCAGCAATTTGGTATCTTTTGCCAAAAGACGAAGGACTATGACACCATCAGTTATAAGAAGCACCTACTAAGCAGAGAAATATCTGTTGCACCATCACACTACATTGATTTTTGACACATGTCCTGGTCTGTGTGCCTTTCATATTCTTCTATGGCAGTAGCCACTCAGCCCTGCCAAAGCCACATTCTAGGTGCTGGGTGACAAAGTGACTGCTTCTTCATGAGATGCCACAGTACCCTGGAGTCCCATCCCTTAATAGAATTTCGACCGCCCTTTGGTCCCAGTAAGGCCTGATGACTAATTCCTGAGTACTACTGTCTGCAGCCACTCCTGATACAAATTTCTGCTTCTTAGTAGCACAATGTGTATGTACAGGATATTGGAATATTGTCTTGTTTATGGAGTGACTGGGATTGCTGGAAACCATATTTAGGGCTATGTTTAACATCCCCCAGACCAGGCTGTAGAACTGGGCCACAGAGTCCATTGCTGGCCACCAGTGCCAAGCACGAGGTGCCACAGCTATGGCTCTGGACGCTCGCTCAGCCTTGCCTCCCCTCGGCTTGCATGGCAGCGGGACTTCACTGCCACGCCATCAGCGTTCCCTTCCCCTACTGTCTCTTTCCTCACCAGCTGGAATGAGAGTGTCTAATTCATGGCAGCTGCTAGAAAAGCAAATATCTGGTATTTTCCGCATCTCTAAGAGAAGATGCATTCTGCTGCCATCAAGTCTCCTGGGATAGGGAATTCCCCAAGCATGGAGAAATGGTGTAGGTGCTGCTGGCCACAGAGAATGGCACGGGCCCGCTGCAGCCCCTCCCCAGCACTCTCTCCCTTCTGCTGTAGACAGAGAACCAGGGATCCTGCTGGTTTCTCCTCTTCCCTCACATCAGCAAGTAGGTGATCTCTAGAATACAGCCCTGCATCCTCCTCTCCATCTCCAGTGCCGATAGCTTCATGTAGCCCACCGTGATCCATTTTGTCTGGGTGACTTAATAGGCTCTTTTTTAAAAAATTTTTCTTTTTATTTTGTAATAGCCTCCTAACTTGTCTTCCCAGTTCCACACTCTCTCTCTTCCAATCTATACTCCCCCAAACGGCAAGAGTATGTTTCTTTGTAAACCACCCTATAAAACCTCCTTGCTTTGATGCCTCCACTGGCTTCTTTTTGCACCTAGAATGAAAGCCAGAATCTTTATCTTGGCCTCTAAAGATTATGACTTATGTCTCATTTTACTTACTTTCCCATTTCAGTGATGATTTTTTTTTTTTTCCCTTTTTTGTCTTTTTTCGTGTCCGACAACGGATCGCAACCCTCAGTGTCGTGCCCGTACCGGACCGGGACCGGCAACGGGATCGCAACCCTCGGTGTTGCACCCACACCTCGCTCAGCCAGTGAGCGGGAACCGGTCTGTATGTGGGATCCGAACCCTCGGCGGGAGCGCCACCGCGCTCTCAAGCGGCGCACTGTAGCAGTGTGCCACCGGGCCGGCCCTCAGTGATGATTTTTAAGAGGTCCTCCTTTTACCTTTTTGGACGAGGAGGTGCTGTCACTGTACCTGTGAGTCCTTGCATCTCTGAGCCCTGCCCTTCCTTTCCCTTCACTCACTAAACTGCATTCATACCTGTCTTCTCTTAGCTCTGCCCCACTTCAGGGCTCTTGCAGGCTCTGTCTGTGCCGCCGGGGACACTTTTCCTCTCATTCTGCACATGGCGTTCTTGTCCTTCTAGTCTCAGCTTACCTGCGATCTCAGAGATGCCTTTTCTTTTTTTTTTTTTTTTTTTTTTTTTTTTCCGTGTCTGGCAACGGATCGCAACCCTCAGTGTTGCCCCCGTACCGGACCGGAGACCGGCAACGGGATCGCAACCCTCGGTGTTGCTCCCGTGCCTCGCTCAGCCAGTGAGTGGGAACCGGTCTGTATGTGGGATCCGAACCCTCGGGCGGGAGCGCCGCAGTGCTTCCCAAGCGGCGCACTATCCAGTGCGCCACCGGGCCGGCCCAGAGATGCCTTTTCTTATCTCTCTGTCTAAATAGTCCCCACCCCGGTTAGTCTCTGCATCATTTCCTTGTTCGTTTCTTCCATATACTTACCAGAATTTAATAGTTCTGTCCACGTGGTTAGTCTCTGTCTCCCCCAGCAGAATGTCAGCTCCCTGAGGGTATGAATTCAGTGTGTCTTGTGTGTCTTGCTCATCACTGCATCTCCAAGGCCTAGCACAGATCTGTTACACAACCTGTTTCCTCAATAAATATTAGGTCAAACAAATGAATAAAAGGCTTCCTAACGTGATTCCCACCCTCCACCCCCAACAAGGTTAAGCCACCGTGCTAAACACGAAGCACTGTGCTTTTCTTCATTAACAATATTCATGTGGCACTTAAATAATAATTTGTGGAACTTCAGTTTATGTTAGTTTCTCCTTGTAGTTTACAGCTCCCATGAGAACAGAGGCCACACTGCTCTCGTCTTTGCTTAGAACAGGACAAGGGCAGTTCAGTAAGCATTAGTCTGTGGGATCTTGTGCGGGGCCATGTCTCTGGGAACCAGGAGGGGGCAGCGGTGTTCTCTGCAGCCCGGTCCTGGGCGGGCGTATTGAAAAACTTGAAGTGAACGTGCGTGCGGCCAGCGGGGAGCACCCTGCAGCTTCTGTGTGCCATGGGGCTAGCTGGCCTGGTCTTCCCTCTTCGGCAGCATTTCCCTTACTTCCCCACTTCACTCTCAGCCTCCCTCCTGGAGGTCTCTTAAACCCCCCCATAATCTGGACACACCTAAGACCCTGGCCTTCATCAGGGCACATGGCCAGGTTGGGAGCCAAGCCCCTGATTCCAGGGTAGAGCTGTGGAAGTGTAGAGAGACTCACAGCTAATAGCCTAACTTGATTCTGTGTTGTGTTTGTAAACGGCAGCCACGTCCTGCTCAGACACCAGCATAAGCACTGCAGGCTGCAGCCAGCAGAACCAGATTACAACAGCCAGTGGCCCAACACAAAGTTCAAACACTGTCACGCAAAGCACAGCTCCACCTTCCAGCAGCACAGGGGCAACTTCAGCCGTGGTCAACGAGAGCCCCCCGACGACGGCAATGGGTGGGAAGCCAACCTCAGGCACTGGTACCACAGCTGCTGATGACCCAAAGACTACTGACCATTCAGGCAGCGTGACACCTACACCGTCTGCTGTGTTGGCTGAGCCCGAAACCACTAGAGGCCAGAGTGGAGTGAAAGATTCAGCCACGCCTGGAAACCAAAGTAGCCACAGCGTTACCACAAGCCCCACAGCCACGACGGGAGAAAAGGAGGTGACTCTGCAGCCCACCACTGTGCCTCACACCCCGAAACTGACTTCTCTTCCTCCTGCTGTGACCGTCCCAGTCACCCCTCACCAATCGACTGGTGTTTCTTTGAAGCCCCCTGAGAACTCTCCCAAGGAACAAGACAGTCTCACTACAGCTTCAAGGAGCCCAGGCACGGAGGCTGGCTCGGGGCCCCCCTCCACACCCGAGGGGATGCCTGCCACGCCGAGTAAGTAATGTCCGGGGTTTATTTTAAGCAAGAAGAAACTTTTCAATGCTCATATTCCACACAGTTGCTCAGCTGGAAGGTGGAGGTTTATGCTGACGGTTAAATGCTGAATACGTTCAACTTTCATTCCGACCTAGTTTCCCATTTCAGTGATGAGCAGGGGCCAAGACTGCTGTGCATTCTGATGCGAGGTCAGTACTTTGGCCTGGCCAGTTGAGCACATCATTCTGGCCTGTGCAGTCTGTTCCTGGCTGAGACTCTGTGTGGTTGTGGTGGCGGGGTATTAGAAGTCCTCTAGAACGGTGCCTCTCAGACCTGATTGATGGCAACCCACGGTTGCAAACACATTGCAGTTTTACATCATGATGCAAACCACGTAGTAGGAATAAAAGCCTCACTGAATAGGACTTACTCTTACTATATGTTATGCATCTTGATATTTTCTATTCTATTCCATTTATTTATTTATTTTTAAGTGCTGGTCTTAACCTAGTAAACTAATTTCAAAATCTACTGATGGATCATGAGCCCCAAGATCAAGACCCATCTCAGATCTATTGAGCCGGAATTTCAGGGCATGAGCCTGAGAATCTGCATTTTAAGGGCTCCCCAGACAATGTCGTTGCATCCTGAGGTTAACAGTGGCCACACTACAAGGGGTGGCCATGTCCTGCAGCGAGAGCAGGGCTCTGAGTTGGACAAAGCTGGATTCAACTCCCTGCTCTGCCACTTGTTGGCACATGACCTTGGGCAAATCATTGAGCCCCTGGGAGCTTCAGGTTCCTTGTTTCATAACATAGTGATAATGACAGCATCTTCTCAGGGCTGCTGGGAGGATTAACTAGGAAAGGCTTTAGAAGCACTTAGCACGCAGTCCCTTGCACAGAGTAAGTGCTCAGGGACTGTTAGCTACCACTGCAGACATCATTGTCATTGCTGTCGTGACTTCCTTTGCCTGGTGCTCACATGGGCTCAGCCAGTCTGACCCAGGCTGTGAAATGTTACAGGCAGCTGCTTCGTCCATTCTGACTCCTCTTCCTCAAAGCCTGCTTCTCCGGCTTGTCGTCTCAGTGGGGAGAAGACCAAAGAACCTGGTCTTTTAGCCTAAGGGTGCCGTTCATTTTTTCCCATAACCTTTGTTTTCCCGATTACAGCACCGCTGGTTACCTCACAAGGAGCTCAACACACCTCCCACTTGATGCCAGCTGTCCCTACAACCTCTTCCTCTGAGGCACCGCTGCCCCCAGGCACATCATCGCCCCCAGGCACATCATTGCCCCCAGGCACATCATCGCCCCCAGGCACATCATTGCCCCCAGGCACATCATCGCCCCCAGGCACATCATTGCCCCCAGGCACATCATCGCCCCCAGGCACATCATTGCCCCCAGGCACATCATCGCCCCCAGGCACATCATTGCCCCCAGGCACATCATCGCCCCCAGGCACATCATTGCCCCCAGGCACATCATCGCCCCCAGGCACATCATTGCCCCCAGGCACATCATCGCCCCCAGGCACTTCATTGGGAACAGTGGCCACACCTCCTGTCAGGGGACCGACAAGTTCCAGCATGAAGTCGACTTCAGTTGTCCCCCAAGGCTCCTGCACACCTCCCACCTTGACTCCTGGGAATAATACCCAGGTAATTCCACCCAGGGCAGGACAAATATGAGAACGCAGACTCAGGGGGAAGGGGCTCCGAGAAGAACGTTTCTGTCCCCACCTTCACTCTCTTGACTCTGAACCTGGTCCAGCCATACCCCCAGCTTGCCCTGAGCTCCTTCCTTTCTGGGTCACCATCCCAGGGCGGGGGAAGTCATTCTTTGACTCACAGCCTGACCCTTAATCTCGGTGGCTTCTTGCAGATACAGTGTGGGCCTTCTGAAAGCCTGAATGAGACTCAGCTGCTCGTCCTGAACTTTACGGGGACCAGTCCCTGTGTGAGTACCCGGCTAATCAGAGCCCTGCCTCATCCCCATCCCCAGATCACAGGCTAGCAGCAGCGGAAGGAAGGGACAGGGGGCTGCAGTCTGTCAAGGGAGTGAGCGGTGTGTATCTTTCCTGCCTTGTTTCTTCCTGCGGGAAATGGCCCCTTCCCATCTTACAGAGCAATAAACCGAGTTCCAGACTTCTCTAAGTCAAGTCACACTCATAGGACTGCTGCAGGGCCAGAGCACCCAGGTCTCATCAGCTTTCACTGCGTAACCATTCAGTGGTCTGAGTCAGGAGATCCTCATCCTATCTCCTGCTTGCCACTAGTCTGGGTGTGACTTTGTAAGGTGATCTCTTTGGGCTTCAGAGGTTTCCACTGAAAAGGAGAGGTTTAGTCTGCCTAAGTCTTCCTGTTGTGTGTGTGTGTGTGTGTAGAAAGGGTGTACCGGTGTGCGCAGCAGCCTTCAGCCTGCTGGTCTCCCGAGGATTAAGGGCTTTGCTCTGGGGATGCTAACTAAGTAGATTTTGAGCTCTGGGAGTGCAGGGGATCGCTGGCTCACTGTTGCCCTCCTCTGGTCAGTGCCTATTTCTGCAACCCCTCCTAAGAACTAGAACAGAACACCCTTTCTCTAGGATAGAGAACTTGGCTGGAGGGAACTTGGGCTTGTACCACTCCAATGCTGCCTCTATCTTCTGCAGTAGTTTTCTGGTGGGTGTCCATTTTTTTGGCATTTTCCACGTGAACACCACAAAAGCATATATTTAGATCAGAGTTTTAAGAGGGAGCAGTGTTCTCCTGGTGTTGTGGGCTTATTGGACAAGGCAGAACTCGCACTGAGACTGGCGCTGGGGACAGTCAAATGCTTGCCCAGCCTTTCCTCAGGCCCTCTTTTTAGCTAAAACTTGGAAGGCTGTAGGATTGTTTGTGAGAAGCATTTTTTTTTCCCCTTTGCTAGGAAAGGGAGACAGAAAGCCCTGCATCCCTTCCTGATATCAGGGAGGGAAATTAATAAGCCTAAGGAAATTCCAGGTGGAAGCCCAAGGGGTGGTTTGTGGGGGTCCTGAGGTAAGCTATACTTAGAGTCCTTTTCTTCATCTCAGTCCCTTCTTCCAAAATCAGGTCAGAGAAATGCCAGCTGGGGGCACCCCTAGAGAAGATGGCAGGACTGGGTAAAGGCTGCCCACCCTTTATTCTCACCCTCAGCCCTCAAGCCACATCAGCCTTGTTCTTTCTGCTTAGAGACATATGAGATCCCCTACAAGATACGCCGTGTATATCTTTCAGATGCTCCCATCTTCCCCTCCTGGGTGGCGGCCTCACCTTTCTCCATTAGCCTGTTCATGGCTTCAGCATCAGAGTCTCGGCATCAGAGGGAAGGGGCACAGGTATTTCAGCTTTGGGATAGCTGAGAGCTGTGGCCTTCCCTCCTGAGGTCTGAACTGGGCATGAAAAGCTGGCAAGCAGCAGTGGGGTGGAGTTGCTGGGCAGCACCCCTCCTGCCCTTTCTAGGAAGGGAGAAGGTAAAGGCACCCACTTGTGACCCTCCGTGAGCTTGGAGGGAGACAAGGGGCACTAGGGCGAAGGGTATTGTGCAACCACGGACAAGAAGCAGAGTGAGGGATGAGAGAAGAGATTCGATGGAGGCAGAGAGGGCAGGGACTGGCCCAGGAGGACAGCACAAAACTCTTGACCCCAGCAGGCCTGGGAATGGCACCAGTGGAGGCTGGAGAGGGTGCAGGTTCCAGCAGGCAACAGCGTTCTGTCCTTAGCTCGAAGGACAGCCTCACAGCCTAGGCTACTGTCTCGATCCCTGAGGAATCTCCTGTGGTCTCCTCGCAACAGGAAAGGAGCCCTCCAGATGACAAACTGGTCACACGTCTGTGCCGAGCAGTCAAAGCCACCTTCAACTCAGTGCAGGACCAGTGCCGAATACTGCTGGCACCTGTTCAAAACAGCCAGGCGGTGGCAGTCAAAAACATCTTAATCAAGAGTGAGTTGAGGGGAAGGGGGGCCGAGGCCTGTGTGGGTGGGAATGGGGCGGGGGTGGTGGTGCGGGTTCAGGAGCCACTATTGTAGGGTGGGTCAGTGTGGTACCCCTTCAGTTCCCTACAAATTGTCAAGCTCCGCCCCCTCCCAGGGCCACCCAAGAGAGACAGACACCCACTCAGGAGACTGAGATACAGTCCATCCTCCTCCTGGGGCCCAGTCTCTGTCCCCTCCCATATCACTGTGTACTAGACCGCTCAGGCAGCACCTCCCCTCCTCTCCCACAGCAAACTTCCTTCCCAAGGACATATATGAAGTGCTGAAGGACCAATGGGATTACCTGAAAGAGGTAAGTGTGCCCCTCCCACGTGCTGGGACAGATTGGGTCAGGAGCCTCTCCTGGGAAGTCCACAAGTACTTAGCTCCAGTCTCTCTCAATGACAAGAAGCCCCCAATGCGCAAGCATCCAGAAAAGAGGAGGAAAACAGAGGGGACAGCAGGGCAGTGGGGCAGGCACCAGCTGACCCCAAGCAGAAGAGCTCCCCGGTGAACGGGAGCTCAGGGAGAGGGTGCCTCAGGACCTGTTTTTTGCCACATAAATGTCTCCTTCCTGGCTAGGCGGGAGTCAGTGACATGAAGCTGGGGCATCAAGGACCCCCGGAAGAGGCTGAGGACCGCTTCAGCATTCCCCTCATCATCACCATAGTCTGCATGGCGTCCTTCCTGCTCCTCATTGCCGCCCTCTACGGCTGCTGCCACCAGCGCCTCTCCCAGAGGAAGGACCAGGTGAGTGCTTCCCTCCTCCGGCCAGGAAACCTGGCCAGCTCACCTGATGAACTCTCCCCTCCTTATTCCCATTTGCAAAGGAGGAGAGTGAGTGGGCCGTGGACCCTTGCAGGCAGCCGCCTACTTACATGGAACATTAAAGGGGCAGTGTGGCTGGAGGGAAGAGCCTGGGCTTTGGAGCGGGGCAGACTTAGTTTAAGCCCTAGTTCTGCCCCGTTTTCTGTGCGACATCTCTTTGAGCATCAGGTTTCTCATCTGCATAGTGGGGATAATATCCACCCTGCAGAGCTGTTCTGAGGATTCGTTGATGTAAATGGCTCTAGGCATGCCCATTTAACCAAAAATTCTTTCACCAGCTTTACTAGGGGTTCTCATCATTTCAGCTCCACCCAGATCCATGGCTGCATACTATGGGAACCTTTAAAAACGTTTTCATGCCGAGCTGCCCCCACACCAGCTGAAGTGGAATCTCTGATCAGTACATGCGTTAAAAGCTCACTAGGTGATTCTAATTTGCAAACGTGGCGTATCTCAGAGAAAGTGCTGCTGCCAGATGCTTGCTATCCATGCAGCAGGATGGCTCTAGGGATCACCGTGCCATCTTGGCCAGGCTTAGAGAATCTGCAGTCACCCGGCCTGTGGGAGGTCATTTTCTTACAGCCCTTCTTAACCCATTATGATGGGCTGACGTGGGTGCCTGGAGAGAAGGTTTTGGGGAAGGAATGGAGGCAAGAGGAAAGAGCTTAGAGGTCTCAGGGGAGCAAAATCCATATCCACTGACTCGCCACCAGAGTGAGCTGAGGTGAGCTGGGCACTTAGGATACCACCTTCAGAGCAGCCGGCCCCCACACGTGAGCAGCAAGTGCTCGCTTTAGCCAAACTGGGGTCCCTGGGTTGGTGGGCTCCATGTGTTACAGTAAGACTTTTTAAGTAAGGCCAGTAGCCCTCCAAAATGACCCTTTCTCCCTGGATCCTATTCTCCCCTCTAGCAACGACTAACAGAGGAGCTGCAGACAGTGGAGAACGGTTACCATGACAACCCGACTCTGGAAGTGATGGAGACCTCTTCTGAGATGCAGGAGAAGAAGGTGGTCAACCTTAATGGGGAGCTGGGGGACAGCTGGATCGTCCCTCTGGACAACCTGATGAAGGACGATCTCGAGGAGGAGGAAGACACACACCTCTAATCGGGCCTGCTGGTGGCCGCCCGCAGCCTCACAGAGCTCCACGCGGACCACCCGAAGTGCCATTTGGACAGGGGAGGAAATCTCCTTCCCATTTGAGGAGGGAAGACGGGAGGGACAGTGGACTCTAAGTGTTACCTCCTCCCAATACCCCCCATGCCTTAATTTTCCCCTTTTCAAGCAGGACAAATCACATTCTGTCTAGTTTCCTCTTGTAAAATAACCCACTAGTGCCTGAGCTCAGTGCTTCTGGAAGATGAGAGAGAGCCATGTAAGGGACTTAAGAGATCATCTAGTGGAATCCCTTCATTTCACAGGTGGGGTTACTGAGGCCTAAAGAGAGTGACTTGACACAGCCACCTGATGACAGGATGGAAACAAAGACACCCTTCCCCTTAGTCCAGTGCTCATTTGCACCCCTCCATAGCCGCCCTGATTGGGGAACTCAGCCGGTGAATGGGCTGAAGGGAGAGCAGGCCCTATCCTGTCCCAGTGGGATCTGATCACTTCCAACTACATGCCCAAGTTTTCTATCTCCCGCCCAGCCTTGTCTGCCAGAGTTCCTGCCCCCTTCAATTTCCCCCCTCTCTCCACTCAATTTTTATTGAGATTAGCATAGGGCATTCATGATCTTGAACCCCTTGTTCTGGATTCTGATTCGCTTGCATTTGCTTAGTGAGATTGGGACTTAGCCCACACAAGACTCCAGTGTGAATGAGGTCTGCTTGAGGGATTTGTGCACAGATTAGAAGGGGAAGCTCTTCATCCCCGGCGGCCTCTGCAGTGCAGCTGGTTAGGGGTCAGCACTAACACTGGCCCGTGTCCCAAGGTGCTCCTTGAAGAGGCTCCCCAATATCTGCTGTGGCCTTCCATGCCCACAGGGGACTGAAATCTGCAGTAGCTGCTGAAAGCAAAGTGTTCCTATTTTGTTCACTGCTTAGCTGGTGGGGGTGAAGACTCAAGCTGGGGACCTCCTGAGACCCAGTGAGAGCAATAGCTGTAGGACAGACCTCTCCCAGGGCCCCCAGTCAGCAGAGATGTGTCTTAGCTGACAATGGATTGACACAGCCAGGAGGGACAGGCTCTACTCTCTATTTCATAGGAAACTCAGGGACTTTTCAAGTTGCTGGGAGTTTGTTATATGTGTGTGTTTGTTTGTTTTTTAATCCAGCCCTCCACTGCCAAAGGCCAAAGCTCAAATGGTTGGAAACTTGCAGTTAGCTCATCTCCCTGATTCTGAGCCTCCTGTGTGCAGGGAAAGAAAGGCTCAGAACATATGCCATGCAGTTTAGGGTGCTGAAGGGCGGTTTATTCCCAGTGACTTGTCGCAGTCCTGGCATGAAGTTAGGCTTTGCTGTTTCCTCTTCTCTATAGTCCTAAAGGGGCTGCTGTAGTTCTCCTGCAGTTTCTGGAGGCATCTCAGGGAAACACAAAGCCATGCCTCTTCCTGGTAGAGGGTTTGTATGGGCTCAGCAGTTAGCTGCCATATAGAAGGCTCCTGAGGACTGGACACAGTGAGGTTTCATTTGACTTTCTGAGAAAGGGGAATCCTGTGTGGAATTTCGGACTTTGGCCATGGTCTCTATTGTTCCTGAGCATAAATTCCCTGGAGCCAACTAAGAAGATGGGCAGAACTTCTTAAGGGAATTAAAACTTATTTTAGGGCAAAAAGTTGCAATTCCGGGGTTTTCCAGGCAGACCCAGACTGCAGTAGTTCTGGTGAAACAGGCTATGTATGTGCTTCGGGGAAGCTTATTTTTAAGAAAGGTGCAGGGCAGGGAGGAGAGAGTCAAGGGAGGATCTCTGTCCTTCCTGGGCTGCCTTGATTACTTCTTTATAGTCTGTAGCTGTTTGAAATCCTAGGGGAAAAGGAAGGCCAGGGGTTCAAGTAGGGCTCCCAGCAAGTTTCCTGAGAGAAGAGATGCTAGGTTAACAAGGATCCAAGAGCATTTTCCCTCATTCTCTAGCATCTGGAGGTTAGGCAGGATGGAGAACAGTGCCAGTTTTGGGGGAAATAGAGGAAATCTTATTAGCACTGGAAAGAACCAAACCAGCAGTTGATTCTTTCCGGCCAGTGGGTTTCTGTCATGGCCTCTGTGAGAGAGGCCAGACTGGATTATTACTTCTTTGCTGACTCTGGGTCACATTTCACCAGTCAAGGCTTTCAACAGAGACAGCAAATATGCCTCTGCAAACTGACCAAGGCTGCAACCCCAAGGCCTCTTGGAAAGAGGTGGTGACTGGCAAGGACCAGAGAACAGAAATTATGTCATTATTCCTGGTCAAGAGGAACGACTATGGTTCTATCCAAGGAGAACCTGGAGAAGCTTTGGGCTTATTCAGAGGTTTCTTCTTTTTGTGTATCCAAATTGTGTTGCTCTAGCCTTTTAGGGCAACTTCAGATGCCAGTACCTGGCCTTGCCCTTGCTGCTGGGACATTCGTGTCAACGGGCTACACAGCCATGCATCTGTAATGGTCATCTTCTTCCCCCATCTTTACTGGGTTCTAAATGCTGTCTGGTAATTCAGATGCTGGGGCTGAGAAGAGGTAAGAGGAACACTGGGAGCTCAGCAGGACTTTAAGTGAGCTGTACGAAAGAGAGGTTATGAACTCTATTTCGGTGGCTAACTATGGTTTCCCCAAGCTGTACAAAAGGCCAGTAATTATGAATCCGATGATTGGACAAAACCCAGCAAGAAGCATGCTTTTGTGTGAGTGGGGAGAGAAGCAGCAGTGTTTATGAAGGAGGTACAGGATATTCTTTGCATCGTAAAACACAATATGGGTTTAATCCAGTTTAGACACCAGATTTTTCCCCCCTCTTAATAAGGAAAGCTAGCAAAGAGTTTATTTAAAACACTTCTTGAGCTTTATCTTGATATTCTTTGCATCGTAAAACACAATACGGGTTTAATCCAGTTTAGACACCAGATTTTTCCCCCTCTTAATAAGGAAAGCTAGCAAAGAGTTTATTTAAAACACTTCTTGAGCTTTATCTTTTTTGACAATATAATGGAGAAACATTGAAGAACAAGTTCAAATTGATATATACATATTTTTTGATAATGTAAATAAAACAGCCACATGTTAACCCACCCTGCACTGCTTTAAGTGAATATACTTTGAAAAAACATTTGTTAGCTGAGATGGCTAAGCTTTTTTTTCTCTGAATAGGAATGTAAATGTCTATCTGATTAGGAATGACAAGCTTTTAATTTTTTTTAAACAAAAAATGAAATAACAAGACAGGCTGATGACAAAGTATTTGTCTTGCAGATCGAGTGTTTTTACTTCGAAATATGACCCTCACCTCGTCCCCAGCAATCCCAGCCCCATGATAGTCAGGGTTGGAATCGGTGTGCACTAGTTAGAAGGTGACACTGTAGTCATAAGGAGTGGGTTTTAGAGATCTAATCCAATCTTTTTCTACAGAAAAAGAACCTGAAGTCCAGAAAGACATAGCGACTTGGCTAAAATTACATGGTTAGGGACAAATAGGATTAAAACCTGGATCCACAGACTGTCCAGTGCTGTGTGCCTCACAAGGAATCAGTGAATTAAGGACTGCCACTCATAGGCACCAGAATAACACAAAGGGCAGCATTCCCTTCCCAAATCTTACCCCAGCAAAGCTAGGGAGAGCAAGAAGACAAAAATAGGAGCCCCACTGGGCTTCTCCACTTCTGAGTCATTTAGATCTAAGATGTAAACATACAGTTCTTTCTGCCAAGAAACAGTTTTGAATGAGCTTTTACATATGGAACTTCTACTAGCAAGACTAAGGGTCAAAGGGAACAAGCTAGGGGGAGACAGAGGGCAAGAGTAAAACAATGGCATAGCTTTTGTCATTGTCACTAGCTGGAAACCCAACACTGAGTGAAAGGGAATTACTAGTTGATGTGGGTCTTTGTTATTAGCGAATGTTAAACAGTTTGCCCAGGAGACTGGGGGAACGTGTCTTAGTGGACAGGGGTCTGAAGTACACTGGAATTTACTGAGAAACTTATTTGTAAAGATTGTAGTTAATTATTGCATTTTCTTACAAAAATATATTTTGGAAAATTGTATACTATTAAAGTGGTTTTGTGTAAGCTGGTTCAGTCCCTAGTATTTTGCTCCAATTGGCTTAAATTCCTCACATGTGCGTGAGGCTCATCACGAAAGCACCTGAGGCCATCACGTGGGTCCCATGAATGCAGCACCTTGCTCTTAGTTATACTCGCTGAGCTACGCACAGAGAGCAGGAGAAAAGGAGGGAAACTGATGAAAAGGAAAAGGGAGACCTTGGAGGTGGCGATGGTTCTCCACGTGATCTCAGCCTGTCCCCCAACATCGCTTTATAAATGTACTGTCTTCCCTCTCCTTCCGCCTCACATACAAACATGAATCACCACCGCCAGAGGTCCCAAGGCGGCTGCTGATCCCTGCTCAGGTATGAAAACACTGGCAAGAGACCAAACAAATAAAAATAAAGCAGCTCTGTTCTGTCCCTGTTTCTGCCCATCAAAGGATCTGTTTCCTTGCCACAAGAGGCTTCTGCCTGTCCCTGTACCTAGTGGAGGAGGAGGAGGTTCAGGGAAGGAATGGTCAGAGATGATTCTGATTCTCTTTATCTCTAAGGTGACGTTATCTACATCTGTATGTTTCCTCACTGCAAGGAGGAAACATCATCATTCCCAACTTGCAGAACTTAACTGTCAGGTAGATCTGGTCCATATTCTTAGCTGTTAGACAATCTCTTTTGTTTGCCTGGCATCTTAACAGTTTACAAAGCATTTCCACATCTTATTTAGGAATTGTCACCACTCTACAGAGGAAAATTAGGTGCAGAGGTAAAGTGTTTTCTGAGATTACATAGCCATTTAAATGGTAGTACCAGGCCTTGATTCCACATCTTTTCTCTTTAGTCCTGCATTTTTTTCAATACATTAATGCTTGCATTCCAATAACAACAAAGTACATTTCTAGAATGCAACTGCTATTACAATGTGATTTTCCTTTCATATGGGAGTTCTGAAAGGCAGTTAACACCCAGAAGGGTGGGCCAGAATTGGACCAGGGGTATTTTGAGGTTAATTTCAAGAGTTTGCCAAGGATACAGAAAAGAGTCCAAGAACCAGGAACTCACACAGGACCCTGGCCATGCTTGAGGCATACTGTTCTAAGGGAGTGATTCATAATTTATCATGGGCTACAAATTAGACCTAAGACTCCATTCTCTTCCTGAGTAGG